AAATGGTGGTTTCTGAGCCTGGCCGCAAACTTGGCTATCTCAACTCAAAACTAATGTTAAGGTGGGATGGTCCCTTTAATAAGGTTACGGTATGTATAATTTACGCTTGTCATCCTATTCCTAATGAATGTGTCTCAGGAAATATGCATCATATAAATCACGAAGTAAAATTATTCGCCTATGTCCGGAACATACCTATATCGTGCTGTTTGCCCTAGCGCTCCTCGAGTGGGGTGTTAAGATACTCTAATGTGAATATTTCGTGTTCAGGCAAGTTTCGGCAGCCAAACTAGGCGTTGTCTTGTGCAGAAGAAAGTGGCGAATTCGATAGGATATATTTCGGAGTGGAAAAGTGTGGAGAACATTGTTGATTTCCTACATTTATTTAGAATACCATTCCTTCAATATGGTGTCTGTAAGGGTTTTTTGTAAAGGGCATTTTTGTGACCTTAGTAAGGTTGTGGCATACTTTCTGTTTGCCATTCCATTCCTAATAAAGGTGCCTTTCAGACGATATGCAACTTTAAGACCTCGCAAGATTAAAACCAGCAGGACAGGACAATGAAATCGAGCTATACTTTCGGGCCTTGCTGAGCCCATTGAGTAATCACGCATGAGTGTGAACTTTGGGCGCATTTTTCCTAGTTTTGCTGTGGACATACAGATAAAACAATGCCATATATGAAAAGTTCAGACATTTCTTAGCCCTACTGACACAAAAAATAAACCAAAATCCAAAAAATATTTTTTGAATTAATAGGCGCTAGATCGGAAAAATCCCCACTGTGCGGCGGGCCGGCAGGGGTGGTAATAGGGCAGCGTGGCGCGGACTCGGCGCGCGGCACCCGCCCGCTCCGCCGCGCCGCCAGGCAGGGCAGACGTCAATAGTGTATGAGCCGACGGTGCTGGCCGGCAGATCGGAAATTGCCTGGAAATGGAGGCCTCGTATCGAACGTAATCAGCATCAGATATTTACACCTCAAAAATCGCCTTCGACCGGTCATTCGTTGGCATGTTTTTTTTTCTTGCACAGGCTAGAGTGGCATATGAGAGGATTATTTGTTAAACTTGTGCTCAGCGGGGCAGTGTTGTCGCCGGCACTGTGAAGTGAAGGGCAGGGCCCCGGTCGCGGGCGGCGGAGCCGGGCACGACCCTCCGACGCAGACCGGCGGCGCGGGTGGCGCGCCGACCAGATGTGCAACGCACGATGGACAATGTACGATGTGCTGTATGTACAATGTACGTACAGCGTACCTACTGCGGCCGGGCCGGACCAGGTGGGTGCGGCGGCTGTGCACGGCTGTGCTCGGGCCGCGCTGGGCCGCAGTCGCCGCTCTGCCGGCCCACTGAGCGGCGCGCCGCGCCGCGCTGTGGTGGTGGTCCGCCGCCGAGACGGCTGTCCGCCAGCCGGCCATGGGCCACTCACTCCCCGGAGCGGCGGGCCGCCACAGCGCGCCGCAGCGCTCCGGCCGACCGGCTCCCCGTCCGACTCCGGCCGACCGGCTCCCTGTCCGACTCCCCGACCGACTCCCCGTCCGACCTTCCCCGGTCACCAGCACCCCTGTCCACCGCTCAGCACGAGGCACAGGAGCTGAGGGTGCCTGAGGGTGACCGGTGACCGCAGGTGGTCCCTGGTCGACTCTCTGTGTCTGTGTCGCTGGCCCATGCGACTGTGACCGGCGCGGTCCGCCGGGGAGGCTCGGGAGGAGAGGAGAGGCGCTAATGCGGCCGGCCGGAGCGCGCCATGGCCTGGTTAGGAAGGCCGAACTGGGGCCCAGCCGGGCCCGTGCCGCGCGGTGCCAGCAGAGGTAACAGACTGGTCCCGTGCTGCTCAAGCTCAAACTGGTGCGCAATGCCGATTTGTTTCAGCCGCTTTTCCATGTCACGGTCACTGTACTGAGCAGTGAACGCAACATGGTACGCAGTACGCTCCAGACGACCCTGCCAGGAATTAGAAGTTTGCACGTCAGTAAGCGGTAATCGCATTTAGCCTCTGTGTAGCCGTCTTAGCTTGACATTATTTTTTCTTCACGGCTTAAGTGAGCAGCAGTGGGCTGCAGGTTTTATTCTTAAAACATGGCTTCTGTCGAAATGAAGCTTCTGACCTCAAACATGGCCTTATGATGAAGATAAAAAAGCCTGAACCTCATGACCCCTGTCTCGTCGCGAGGCTGGGCCGTTGGTTTTGAACGTTACCTCCGCCCTTGTCTGCTAAAACCACACGGCGCGGGCGTCTATCAGCCAACTCTAGATTGGACCGTGTGGCCACGCCAACTGAGACGCGCCCCAAATTCCGGCGGCCTTTGGGCTGCACCTGAAGGTCCCCGGCCGAGCGGCCGCCTGCCGTCTGCGTCACTCACTGCCAATCGTGTGGTAATACGTGGGCAATATACATTAATAGTGCCTAATGCATGACTGAAGTTGAGCGCCGTCCTTTGGAGAGCACTGCAGAGCTGCGTGGCGGCGGAGCGGTGGCCGCGGGCGGCGCCGGCCGGCCGCTCACCGTCCGTCCCGGCCGCTCAGTCGGTCGTCCCGGCCGCTCACTGTCCGTCCCGGCCGCTCACTGTCCGTCCCGGCCGCTCACTGTCCGTCCCGGCCGCTCACTGTCCGTCCCGGCCGCTCACCATGTCCGTCCCGGCCGCTCACTGTCCGTCCCGGCCGCTCACCGTCCGTCCCGGCCGCTCACTGTCCGTCCCGGCCGCTCACTGTCCGTCCCGGCCGCTCACTGTCCGTCCCGGCCGCTCACCGTCCGTCCCGGCCGCTCACTGTCCGTCCCGGCCGCTCACTGTCCGTCCCGGCCGCTCACCGTCCGTCCCGGCCGCTCACTGTCCGCCCCGGCCGCTCACTGTCCGTCCCGGCCGCTCACTGTCCGTCCCGGCCGCTCACTGTCCGTCCCGGCTGCTCACTGTCCGTCCCGGCCGCTCACCGTTCGTCCCGGCCGCTCACTCTCCGTCCCGGCCGCTCACTGTCCGTCCCGGCCGCTCACTGTCCGTCCCGGCCGCTCACTCTCCGTCCCGGCCGCTCACCGTCCGTCCCGGCCGCTCACCGTCCGTCCCGGCCGCTCACTGTCCGTCCCGGCCGCTCACCGTCCGTCCCGGCCGCTCAGTCGGTCGTCCCGGCCGCTCACTGTCCGTCCCGGCCGCTCACTCTCCGTCACAATGCCGGAATAGGACCGCCCACGAGCTCCGGGCGTCCTCAGCCAGGGGCCCGCTGGTTTCAGGTGCTGGAATAGATGCACCCCCACTCTGGGCCCGCTGGTTTCAGGTGCTGGAATAGCTGTTCCCCCACTCTGGGCCCGCTGGTTTCAGGTGCTGGAATAGATGTTCCCCCACTCGGGGCTCGCTGGTTTTTGGTGCTGGGATAGATGTTGTCCTGCTCGTTGCGTGGAGGTGGCGAAGGGCAGGGGTGGGCCGGAGTCGGAGCTCCGTCCGTCGACTGTCGGGTGGGTCTGTTCGAACTGACCGCACTCGGAGCGCGCTTTGTGAGAGGGGCGGCCGAGATCAATACGGCCGCGCCCGGAGCACGGTCTCGGGCGGGCCGGCGCCCGGGCTGCCTGTGGCCGGAGGATGACCTGTGACCGGTCACTCCGTCTGTGACCCGGGTTGACCTGTGGCCGGGGGCCGCCGTGCTGGAACCCCAGCTCCAGGCAGCCGGTGCCAGCCGTCGGCCCCGGCTGAACCCGTCCGGCGCTCCCGGCTGTTCGCCGGCCATGTTGCGCGGCGGCAATGCCAGACTGGCCGGGCCGCCTATCTGCCGCCTGCGTGAACACTGCAGACTACAAACGACCATCCAGGGAACGCGGGCCAACCACGGCATTCACGAGTCGTGCCACGTTGTCGCTGATGCGAGCGGCTTGACATCTATTTGCGCCGTGCGCTGGAGCTTGTGTGGAATGAAGTGTTTCGCTGAAATGACAGTCGCTCAAACTATAGTCGACGAAACAGATGTCGCTGAAACATAGCTTTCGCTTAAATTGATATAATCGCTATATTTGATAATCGCTCAATTTGATATTTGCTAAGTTGCCAGTCGCTGAAAATGGTTCGCTCAAATGACACTCGCTAAAGTCGCTCGCACCGGTGGAATCTGCCCTCGCTCTTCCGTCAGCGCAGCAGTGGAGTTTTACTGCGCCGATTAGCTCAGCTGAGCTATCAGACGCCGTGTCTCCGGCTGCTGCGACCCGAACGGATCGCGGCAGACGCGCACCTCGGACCGGGCCGGCCGCCTGATCACCTCCGACAGCTCTGTGGCACTCCACTGCTAAATCCGGCCCAATAAAACGGCTGCCAGCGGCCTCCGACCGCGGCCGCGCCACAAGGCCGCGCCGGGCTATCTCGTCCGTCCTCAGAGCGGTGGGGGGGGGGGGGGGGTATCTCATCCGTCCTCAGGGGAATACGTGATTTGAGCCGCTGCAGTCGTCGTTTTTAACACACGCGTGGCTGGGCGCATCAAAGTGTCGCTCATGTGCCGTTCAGGCGCCACCATTTCCGGTTACTCAGTGTTAGCTTTCACAAAGCATCTTAGCTTAACTACTACAACCTAACCTGAGCTGACCTGACCTGACGTGTTTGGTGTCGGCAGATGTGTGACCGGGATCTGACCTGACCTGAACTGACCTGTTTGGTGTCGTCAGATGTGTGACCGGGAACTGAGCTGACCTGACCTGACCTGACCTGTTTGGTGTCGTCAGATGTGTGACCGGGAACTGAGCTGACCTGACCTGACCTGACGTGTTTGGTGTCGGCAGATGTGTGACCGGGAGCTGACCTGACCTGATCTGACCTGTTTGGTGTCGTCAGATGTGTGACCGGGAACTGAGCTGACCTGACCTGACCTGACGTGTTTGGTGTCGTCAGATGTGTGACCGGGAGCTGACCTGACCTGACCTGACCTGTTTGGTGTCGTCAGATGTGTGACCGGGAACTGAGCTGACCTGACCTGAGCTGACCTGACCTGACCTGACCTGACCTGACCTGACCTGGCCTGTATGGTGTCGGCAGATGTGTGACCGGGAGCTGATCTGAGCGGCCACCATGGAGGACGATCTGAGCGTCACCTCCGACGAGCTCATCTTTATCCGGATCTGCGTGCCGGAGCTGAGCGTGGAGAAGTGCCTGCAGTTCTGCCGCTCCGACCTGGTCTGGGACGTGAAGCAGCAGTGTCTGCGCTCGCTGCCCAAGGTGAGTCCGGCCCGGCCCACTTGGCGCGCCCAGCCGCAAACGCAGCCCACATGAAACGTGCTCCACAATGTTAATGTTCGCCGTCAAACGATTTTAATCGCACGCTAATAGTGCTAACGCTGCGATGATGGTTTTTCTCTGGGGCAGACTGATCGCTGGGCCATTTAGGCTAAATGATACAGCACACAATCCATTAAAAAGGCCAGGCGGAATGTCGGTGTACCGTCGATATGCCGCTCGCCAGCACGACAAGCTGTGGACGAGATCTGGCCACAGCGGGGCCGGGCGAGAGCGGCAGGGGCCGACAGCACGCGCCGTGTAGCGGAGGGATAGACGACAGCACGCGCCGTGCAGCGGAGGGACAGAGCGACAGCGCGCGCGCAGCCCCGGGCCGGCCGTACTCACGACGCCGATAGTCCCCGGGCCTGAGCCTCTAAATAGGAGAACTCAGCCGCGCGGACTGAATGCGACCAGTGCAGCGGTCGACGGGTGAGAGAGGGAGAGCTTTCATCCCCGGTGTCCCCGCCGAATGTCTGACACGCTCCGGACGGTATTTATTCGCTAGGGGGATGTGGCCCGAGTACGTCTCGAGCGGCGCAGCAGCTGAAGTGACTGCTCTCTGCAGAGGCAGGTGCACGGTGAGCCGGCGCAGCGCCCCAAACCGACCCGCCGACTGGGCCGATGGCTTCAGATCTCCAGATCGCGCGCGCGACGCTTGGGAATGCCTCGTTTGGGGCGTAATCACGCAGCCTGTGATGTTGTTTGTGGCGCCTGTGTTAGCGCAGGTTACCGCGCTGAGCGCTTGTTGACGCGCGAGTGCCGGTGCCGGCTCGATAGCCGCGCTGTCTCGTTAGTGTGAGGGCGCTGTTTGCAGAGGATGCTGGAGGGCCGCAGCGCGCGTGACCGCTCGTGGCGGCCCGATGTATGCTGGACGGGTCTGACTGCCGAGTGGGAGCGCTGTCATCCGGGCCCGGACTGGCCTACTCAACCTGAACAAACTCATCCCGACCCGGCCCTCCTCGTTAACTCTGTGCTAACGCAAAGTAGAGCGATGCCTTTCCAGACGGTCAGCGCCGTTCGATTCAGCCCAGAGCGACCCACCCCCGGCTGGGCGAGTCCGGACCGGTTCGCTCAGAGTTTGTCTGGTTCATATCTACCGCACAGCTCGCGTGGATCGCCGTATTGGCGAGCTGGCGTCACGTAGCGCCACCCCGAGATCGGGCGCTCCCGGCCGCCGAGTGGCCCCGGCCGCCGAGGTGTCGAGCGTCGCTGTAGGTGGCGCTGTCGACGGACGTGCTTCGCCGCCGCGCCGGTCGGCAGGAGCCCCCACCCCCGCCCCCGTCAGCAGCGGCGCGCCGTGGGGACTGGGGACGTCAGCAGCGCGCCGTGGGGACGTCAGCGGCCAATGGCGGCGGGATACCTTCAATTAAGTGCCGACTTTTGGTCCCATTCTTTCCATGCAACGCCCATAGAGCTAATATTAAAATGCCAAAATCAAAGGGGGGCACGGTGCCCCGGTGCCCTCCCCGTTCCGCCGCCTACGTCAGCGGCGCGCCGTGTTCACTTTCACCGGGCGCGCGCGCAAAAAGCGCCATCTGAGTATAGCGCGCCGCAGCGGCGACCACGAACACGCGGTTTTTCACTTGCCGGTGGCGGCTAGCGGCTGCGGCGCGCTGAATGCCGGACGTCTCTGCCGGCCGGCTGCTCTCGTGTCGCGGCCCGTGCTGGGGTATCCCGGCCGGCAGCTGCCCCGGCTCGCTCCGGCCGTGACACTGACGCACCTGTGCCGTGTCGGGACGCAACGGGGGTGCCCGCGTGGGTATCCTTGCCGGTCCCCGCTCACGGTTCGTCGGAAAGTCATTTAATCTACAAAATAAATGAAATACACCATTCTAAAGGTGACGGTGAGATGATTCCAATGAAGTCGTTTTTATCAAAATCGTTCGTTGCCAAAATCTCTTTTTAAAAAATTGTGATTTTGTAGAAACTGAATAGGGGAGAGCGGGGCAATGGCGGACGGTGGGTAATGCCGGCCACCCATCTCTAGTGAGTACTTTGTCCATCACTAATCAGCTGATGTTGTTTAAATTTCAGTTGCAGCGCCATTCTAGCACGTGGTGAAAGTTTGTCACGGTAGCTCCATTATTTTCATTTTTATAGCGTTAAATGTGTTTTTCGTATCTGATTTTTAATTTTTGTTGCATCTATTTGCTGACTGTGAAATGTGTTAACGCATTTTCAGAAGTGCTGCTTTGCAATGACCTTCAATTAAGCCTTCCTTAGGCGACTGCTGGATGTGAGGCGTTTGCGACGCAATGCCTTTGACTGCTGCCTGCTTTCTTAAAATAAAGCTGACCTCGGGGTTATACCGGACACGTGTCCGGAATGACTCCACGCGGTTTTGTTTGCGACTTCTGTCGTTAAAGCTCAACGTTTCGGGTTGCTGTGTTTACGGCTGTGTTAGTTTGCTTGCTGTTTACGGTTGTGTTAGTTTGCTGCTCTGTTGGCGCCGCGCTGTTGTGTTGCAGCGAGTGCAGTGTTGTGTTGCAGTGCAGTGCACTGTTAACTGCTGAATACAGTTGTCGTTTCTTAATTCTCACTTAAATTTCCATCGAAAGAACGGTTTAAGGATGAATACCAGTGACGATATTTCGACTTTTTGTGCTATTGCACTTAGTGGCCGGCATTACCCCTCGCTTTTTTGCACCTCCATTTTTCACCACATTTTCGCGTAGGCTCTGAATCTGTCATCAGTGATCTGAGATACTAAAACTGGGTGTTATCTGAAAGCCTATTCCTTTGGCTATAACCACAGTCAAAATCACCATAAAATAGCTTCAAATAGCTAAGCTATTGAGCAAAATGCTTATGGTGTCGCCATTGCCCCACTCTCCCCTATTCATTTAGGTATTTAGGGGTACACCTATGTACTTACCGGGCAGTCCCGGACATTTTTGAAAAAAAAACATAAGCCCCGTTTTTCGAGTTTCATTTGAAAGCTGAACGCCAAAATAACAATATCTAGTTAATGAAAAAATGTGCTTAACTACTCATGTACGACTTCCATAACCGACAATAAGGCGCAATCACATAGCTCGGTCCCACGATGGACCAAAGTCATACCACACCCAGGAGCCTGAAATGACCCTTGTCAGTTGTCGACTCGAGTCGTAGATGCGTTGCTCCCGACCCGCCTTACTGACACTGCTATTGACACTGTTTTTGACTTTGTTACCGATACTGACACTGCTGCTGACACTGACACAGCTTATGACACTGCCACTGTTACTGACACGGTTGCTGACAGTGCCGCTGATACTGTTACGCTCACTGACAGCCAGGGGCGGCGCCACGGGTTTTCGATAGGGGGGGACGGGGACCTGCCTGACCGAAAATCCCAAAAGTAGATACTGATCGTGTATGCAAAAAAAAAACGAGGCACGTAACGCCGCGAAACTTGGTAAAGCCCAAAACACATCGAATGGTGCATCCCGTTTCCAAACTTATCCTAGCCCGGCAGTTGCTGGGGTATTTCGCCACCCACCGTTTGCTGGGGGGGGGGGGCGTTAAACGCCCCCAGCCGATATCTCGAGAACCAATAGGCGCAGCGAAACGCACGAGGCGGCAAACGAAAGAACGCGACGAGACGCTTCAGATGAGTACTTTAAAGTTGAATTTTGAGGTCACAGGTCGGGTCAAGGTCAGGTCAAACACCTGAAATCGGGCTTTCAGTAGCATGGATTTGAGGACTTCGTAATGGGCGCCTCTCGTCATAAACTCTGTCAAAACGGTGCACAAGCCATCATATAAGGTCTACAAGAGTGTCAGCTCCATGTAGGGGTCAATCAAACATAGGTCAGGGTCAAGGTCAGGTCAACCGGGTAGGCACATATCCCCGAAAATCAAAACTGATATTCGCAGCCTGTGACACATGTTTTATGGGTAATTTGGGGCGTAGAACACGATGGTGACATTCATTTTATCATATGTGTACGTGTTTGGCTCAAAAAGTTCAATTTAAGAAATGCATGTATCATGGTCGTGAAGTAGTCACGAGAAATTGCCAAGATTCAGTTCAAGATTTTGGAAAATGCGGAACGATAATCAATAATCGAAGATAGCCATCTGATTGTGCATGGTATTTGCAGTCTAATGGCGTTTACGGCATGTCTGTATGTCTATTCTGTGATTTTATATGATTTTTTGAACATATGCCGTTTTTGGTCGAAAACTCAGAAATCATGACGTCACTAAAACCTCGATATCTCAAAAATTTTCCGATCGATTTTTTTGAAACTTTGGCACAATAAACTTCAATTAATTCCCTACAGGTAGCCAAAATTTGGCGCGCCTGCGGTGCGTCGTTTTTATGCTATGGCCCGGCGAAAAAAGTGGGGGCGTTTAACGCCCCCCCCCCCCCCCCAGCAACTCGCGGGCTAGGACACCTAAGAGCGATCACCTTTTCAAGCATAAATCAAAATTTGCAGTCTTGCCAACTCAAAGCTGGTTTCCTACAAGCTGCGAATTACTTAGGTATGATGAGTAGCAGTGCCAACCATTCTTACGTTTCGTACTTTCAAATTTTCAATCTTACGTCTGGTCAGCTTCATGGCTTCACCATCATATACAGTCATGGAGGAAGTCATATGTAGTCATGGAGGAAAAGTGGGAATGTCTTCGGCTCTGACAAGTGCACCAAAACTGCAATATAATTTCAGAATCATGACATCACCACCACCACCTGATCCATATGCAACGGGCAGGGTGCAGCTAATGGCTAGCCGTCAGTGGTCATGTCATCGGTGGTCACTCAAAAGGTCATGCTAGGTCATGGAAGGTCACCAGCCATTATTTGATCACACTTTCTGATGGATTTTACTTACCAAGAGCTTCGCGGGAAAAACGAGCGCATGCATCGTTGAAAAAAAATGAGTGAAAGGGTCTCAGGTCCGGCGACCTCTGCAGGTGAAATGCCCCATGGTAGGATTCCGATTTTCACA